TGCTACTAGTAGTAATGCCCTTGTTACTAGTAGCGATGCCCTTGTTACTAGCAGCTTCTTCTTACTAGTAGCAAGCATGTTACTAGTAGTAATTCCCTTGTTACTAGTAGCGATGCCTCTGCTACTAGTAGCTTCTTGTTCCTAGTAGTAGTGCCAGGAGCTACTAGTAGCGTCCGATCGCTCCTGTCGCTCCGGTCTCCCACCAAGTTTTTTTAGGTCTTCACCAGGACTTCGAGGAGTTCGTGATTGGTCGTGGCTGTCCAAATCCCTTGCCCTCGCAGCGTCTCCAAAGGCACCACTTGGAACTGAACGATTTAATTTGTTTAGTCTCAGTTCGAAGTTTTCTGAACTGAGCCTTTTCAGAACAGCCTTTGTTTTTAGACTCTTCTGAGTGAGATGAGTTGACTGTGGTCAGGACATCTCAAGCATCTCCGTGAACACAACTGGCTAGTGACAGATGTTCAAAAATCGATTCAATTTGATGAAGGGCGGCCCTTGTAACAGCTTAGGGTCTCGTGTGCAATTTAAAAAAATTAGCTGCAATGGCATCAATTGCAATCTCATCTTTAGCACTGCTGCGAATAGCAGCTATGCTTATGGGGAATAGGCTTAGGCCTGCTGGGACATTGAGCCGAAATCATCGAACGCCCAGGTGCTTGCTTCTGGATCGGATGCCCGCGACGATGTCCATCTTGCCTTGTGACATGTTTCGCTGCCGCACCTGTTGCCCAAGCTTGTGGCAGTATTGAGAAGCAAGAAACTACAAACTGTTTTGTTCGCATTGTTACTGAAGTTATCATGCTAGTGAACCCTACAAAACACCTGTTGAATCAAGCAGCAGATCTGCAATGATTCTGAAGGTCCAAGTGTGCAGAACTTGGATGGTCCCATCTGTTGTCCTCTTGTGGTGCGTCGCCTTTCAAAAAATCGAAGACAAAGCTGAGCCACGCCATGGCTTTGGGCGTTCCCAGACAAGCTATGGCTCCAGCTCGACTGATCATGCCAATGAAGGCTGAACGCCCCACAGACGGGTTGCGAAGGATTGCGCTGCAGTATACACATGAGGACTGAAGGGAGAAACATCGGGACTGTTTCCAAAAGTCACCTGTTTGATTCACACATGATGTGTAAAGCATATGTATACTGTGTATATATATATACACATATTGTAGAATATAGTGACACTGAGGTATTGAGGCACGGCTTGTATTGGCAAGCTGTTGACAACCCCAAACATGGCAGATTGACGAGGAAATTGACCAACATGGGGTTGTCTGAGCTTGTAAATCGATCACACGATATGAACCCCGCAGTTTCTTGTTCCAGATTTCTTTCGTTGGTGCTCTTACTTAGCAACCAGCCGGAATCCCGCCTCTTGCCTTCTTCCTTCGTTGAATCCATTTTCTGCCACAAACGGTAAGAATGGTTTCAATAGCAAGTTTGAGCGGGATGAAGGGGAAGGGTTTAGCGGTGATCTTCAAATGGGTAAGAAGGCAAGACTGCCAAATAAGATGCTATAGTTGGGCAACCCAAAAGGGGAAAGTGGGCATTTGTGGAGTGGCCTCAGATAGCCGATAGCCTTCAAAAGGATAGCTGCAACTGCTCAAGTGCCAGTTTAATTCTGTGAGGTTTGGTTTTGCCAAGGTTTCTTTGAGGATCCAGGATCCACGCCACGTAGCTCACAGCCTTCAACAAATTGCTTATATTTGGTAGCTAAATGTTCACCGCTGGTCCAGAGGCCAGAGGTCTATAGCACTGATGAAACCACCACATGGTCCCGATGGTCCATAAAAGGTGCTCACAATATATATATATATAATATTAACTGAGATGTTATATAGAACCTACGCCCATGCCTGTGTCATTATTCCAACATCATCACTCTGCTTGGGGTTCAATGACGTGTCTTTGTATTATCTCAAGATTGATCAAAGTGCATACCTTTGAAGTCCGATATTTTCATATCTTCAAGTTTTCGTGAATCATGGAAGATCTGTAAATCTTGACAATTTCAGTTGAGCACTCCAGGACCTCAGCCAAGCCACGCAGAACTGGAGCAAGAGCCGGCAGCTGGGCTCGGGCTCCTACGGCGCCGTTTTTAAAGGCGAGATGAAGGCCACCGGCGACGCCATTCTTTTGTGTCGGCGCGCCATCGGAGGGGGTCTTTGAAGCCTCACTGTGAAAAGTGGAAACATGAGCATCGTGTGCCAGGATGGAACCCAAGTTGCCATTAAGATGATTGATCTTGGTGCATTGAAAAACTCTGGCCAGCCTTTGCCTCAGTGAAGCATTTCTTGCTCATCTCAGCTTTCACACATTAAGGACCGAGGATATGGCTGGCTTTGACCAGGAGGTAGCAACGTTGAGCAAGTGCAACGCTCAGCATATCAGCAACCTGCCAAATGTTTGTAAGACCAAGGAACTGAGAGGGGCTGATAAGACTCAGTTATGCCCGCTAACTATTTGGGTTTTGATTTCTGCATCGCTGGCCAAGCCTAGCGGGTGACCGGTGCCAGGTTTCGACATCCGAACCTGGTCACCTTGATCGGATGGGGTAAACACTATCATTTGCCGTAATGACCTCAGGGTTTGGATGACTGGCCATCACTTGCCAGCTTAGAAGACTGCTTGGGAGATGCAAAGCCCTGGATTTGAGGCATCGCTACCTGGTTTATGAGCTGATGACGGGAGGGGATATCTATGATCGATTGATGAAAAGCAAGAGACGCCAAAATCCAATTACTTTCCATTGGCCAGAGCCCAAGTTAAAGGTTTGTGGAAGGAGTTTACAGTTGAAGGTTTAGACTATGAAGATGTGGAAGTCAGAGCTGGGAATTCTGAGATGAGGTATGAGCGTTTGAGCGCCCTGTCGGATGCGGCCTCGGGCTTGTCCCACATGCACAATTCGAATCCAGAGGCTTTTCATCGAGTGTTGAGCTGAGTGGCTTGTGGCTTTGGACATGCAAGTCTTTAAGGTCCTATTCAACAAATCACGTTCTAAAGAGAGAGTGCTGAGGACATCAAGAGTGCCAATATTTTGCTGGATAGGCCGCAACCTTGGTTCATTCTCTCGCATGACTCTCATGTTTATGGAAGTTGAGCTGTGGTCAGCCAAGGCATGGTACGGCCAAGATGGCTGACTTTGGCCTGAGCATCACGTCTTCAGCAGCCGCAAAGAGCTTGAAGGCTGATCAACCTTTGCGCGTTTCTTTCCCAGAAGTCACTTTAAATCCTGTTCAAGTTGTTTCCTGCACTGTCCTGCATGGTCCACAAGTAAAAACGTGGAAGCGGTGCAGGTGGATACGATCAGTGGCACGCCTGGATATGCATGCCCGATCTATGCTCGCACGGGGCAGGTCACGGAGTTCAGCGAGGCGCGACCGCTCTCTGCCCACCGGTCTTAGACCAGATCTGTTGAGTGGACCCGTTTGGTGCTCTCCGATTGGCCCAAAACATCCAAAACTGAACACTTGATGGTTTCCGATCAATCACTGCAGAGTTTGGGGCACTAAAGGTGCGGGCTGCAAGCACCTTTCTTTGCGACTCCGTGGTTCTTGATCTTTTGGAGGTGTACTCTTTCGGCATGGTGATTCTGGAAGTTCTCACAGCAATTCCACCGGCGATGGCGGACAGTGGAAAGCCAGGTGGTCAGCATCCCAGACTCAGAACGGCAAAGCCAAAGATTGAAGCGCAAGTTTTTGACTGTTTAGGCCTGAGAGGACTCAGCAGATCTCATCTAATGACGTGGACATGTCTAGAAGTTATTTGCAGTTCCAATTGTTGAATTGCAAGTGAGGCCGTTCATAGTCATAGACATCCGCAGACTTTGACTAAGCTCAAGTGAGAGTGCGGAGTGTGTGAGTGCTTTAGCTCTTCACCATGTGGTGTTTCCTGCCTTTGATGCTGATGCCTTTGATGCCTGTTTGGGCGACTGCGGCGATTGCTGGCAACCAGTTTCCAGCTTCTTGGGGGTCTCCGCCAGAAATCATGACAATGGACTACGTGCCATTGGCTGGCGGCTATGGTCATGGCTCCAGTGCCCTCTCCAACTGGATCTACGAGCACATTCAAGAAGACTTGAAAGCCGGCAAGCCACAGTTTCCGCCGGCGTTCGGAGAAGTCCCGAAAATGCAGACCAGGGATCTTCGCATTCTTCCATTTGGATATGGCCGGGGATCAGGGACCGTGGCAATGTGGCTGAGGAAGAAGGCGAAGGAGGTTTACAATGAGAGCCCAGACGAGTTCGAAAGCATGGACAAGTTTCTTCGAAAACGGGCATTCGGATCAGGTTTAACTGAAGTGATCCAGTGAGAAAGCACGGATCAAGGTCTGCGGAGATAGGGGCACAAACATTGAAATAACCGCAGATAGTTAGTTGCTTTCCCAAAAGAGGATCTCACACTCACTTTTGAAGCGCATGCTGAGATGCCGGTAGCTGAATTGTCCAAGTTGCGGTCTACGGAAATGCGGTTTCTTCACAAGTTGCACGATGTTGATGAAAGCTGCTGACAGCTGAGCACCTGCCAGTACCTGCTCTCCTAATGTACAGACAGAGAGCATAGAGAATGGGCATCAAAGCGCTACAGTGTCAGTTGCAGTGGTACTGTCGTCAAGCGATGTTGATAAAACAGGTGCACACAGCTAAGCAGTGCCACTGGTCACTAGTCACATTTGGTCACCAACTGAGTGGGACAATGTGCAACAGTGCAACCCATGTCTTTTTCTTCAGATCGCAGCGGAGTTGTCATCCACTGCAGGTATTGGATATCCGATTGAAGACAGGATCAAGCCGGGTGCAGATGGAGCCCTTGAGCGATGCGTCAAGCACTGAGAATCCGTGCCAACCAGCCAACCAGCCAACATCCACTTCAAAAACTCTTTGGTTTTGCCGCTTTGCCCAAGGATTCCAAATCTTTGAAGAGTTAGTTCAACTCCAATTATGTGGCTTAACAAGTACATAAAAAAGTACAATGTTTTTGTACCCCCTGCGGCGTTTTTGTTCACCTGCTTCTCAGTTTCTTTCAAGTTGAGACGTTGAGGTCCAGAACTTGGATTACACAGCAGCCTGGCCTTGCGGTCTAGCAGAGGACCACTTGCGGAACCAAGTGAACAAAATGAGATGTGTCATGCGGGCTAGGTCGGCTAGGTGCCCATGGCCTCGACGGCCAACCCTAAAGCAGTTCATCAATTGTGTAAAACTTAGCAGTTTGATTTTGGTGTCGGAACAACAACAACAACAACAACAACAACAACAACAACAACAAAGGATTTGTAAACATATTGTTTCGTCTCGCAACAAGGCGCAGCATGTCGGCTGCTTGTGCTCCGATCGAATTACAAATCTTCGGTTCCAGGAGCTGAGCAAGTTGGGCATTCGCTGTGTAAATGCGCAGGATGAGACCAAACGGCCACGCTTCGTGGAGGCACGACCTGGCCTTTGTGCGGCTCACGAGCTGCGAAAGTCACCAAAAAGGGCATGATGCTACTCAGTTCAAACTTGCAAGTACTACCGGCCTGTGGCCATCGGCTTCCTTCAGATCCTAATTACTACTGGCCTACTAGTAGCAGTTGCAGTCTGTCCCTTCTTTTTTCTTACAGACACAGAGTTTCTAACCGATTCTAATCAAGTTCAAACCTGTTTCACTCCAAGTTCCAACCCACACCTCAAGAGCGAATACTTTACTGAGCGATTCGGCAGCGTAGGGCGTGGCGCGCTGAGCTCACTGTAAGTTCGGAATGCAGGTCGTGCGAACCTTGCGCAAGATGCAAGACGACTATCCCAAAATGCAGCAGACACCGGCATTGCCATTGGGTGTGGGTTCCTAGCTAACACAGAAATTGTGCCTAAGGCCCCAAGCATTCAAGTTCGAAGAGAGCTTCCTAAGAGTCACATGGGACCCCTGGCTGGAGGTCCTCCTTGCGGCTATCCCACAATTCTGGAATCAATGGGCTCGTCACAGTCAGCGATCGATTCTGCACCTTACATGCTGGAGCTCGTGCGGGCTGATGATGTGGAGGCACTGCCACCCAGATGATCATTTCCTTGACAGCACAGCTGCTGTCAATAGCTGGAGAGCCTGTCAATAGCTCGAAAGCATTGGAAAGCAAAATCGATGCTGGTATGCACTTCAAACATGATAAATGAGAGGTCGAGCGTTTGCCTGCACGTCGCCGACGGCTACATCTTTGTCCAACTTGGGATAAGGCTTTGCACCCGCGTCTTTTTTGCAATTGTTTGCTTGGCCGACTTTTGAGTATTCACAGGCAACTGGACGGTTTACCGCGTGAGCGGCCCAGTCCTGGTATTGACACGGGTAATGCACACGGGGACCAATGTTTGAAGGGCACCAAGTCAAAGCATCTCTTAAAGACAAGGTCTTGATCTGCACGGACATTCCATGGTGCTGAAATGTTTCTGCTTGTGGCCTGAGGCCGGTTGGACGCCAGCACCAATCTGATCTCTTTGAAAGCTGGCTGCCCAATGAGGAGCTCCGCAGCTGCATCTCGCGGCTAGCTTTCGAGGCTCACCAGGGCGCTAGTTGAAACCGCACCAGTTTGCTGAACCTGAACCAGTGCAGTTTCAACTGCTGCGGAAAACTTGAGTTCAAAGAAGAACAACAACTGCACCCTTGGTTGTCAAGCAAGTTTATCTTTGAACCAGAAGCAGCGAAACGCGCAGAACGAAACGTACGAGGAGTTCTTGTAGGAACTGATTGGGAAATGTGCCACAGGTGAGCTGGACCCCATCAGGAAATGTGCAGATCATTGCCAAGGGTTACAGCCTCAGAAAAGGAACAGTGATGTACATGGTGGACGTACAGTGGTGCGTGGCATGGCGGCGCTCTCATCCACCGAAGTGTGCAGAACAGATTTGATTTCAGACAACCAAACCCGCCCGAGGCAACAACCCGGTGACCTTGAACAATCAAATCCTTACTCGGCACCAAGCTGTACAGTTGAGCATCGGATCGGAGGCCAGGCACGACGGTCTCTGTAACTGTAATGTGACCGTGTTTGTAGGCAGGTGTGTGTGTGTGTGTGTGCACCTTGGAATCACAGGTAGTCTTTTGACTTTAGCACAGCAGGAGGCCACTCCACCCAACCACGGGAGTGGCCAATGGAGAGCCTGGTGTTGCGGTGCAGAAAATGTATCCGCGTTTTGATCCTTGGTGGTAATGAACTACAACAAGACTTCGTCCTTTGCACCGGTTTGTCAAGATCTAATGCGAGTTTAGGATGTTGTGGAGGAGCTCGCAGTTCAAATTTCGGAAGTTGAAGTTCAGGATGTTGTGATCAACTTTGTGGCGCTTGGAGTTTAGGGAAACTAGGTTTACTAAGGTTACTTTTCTACTCAGAATGCTATCGAATTTTGTTTACTCAGGTTTTTTTTCTACCTAATTAGGCTTCGTCGTGTGGCCGCTGCCTTTCGTACGTACACCCATCTCAACTGTGTGTTCTCAACACCTCCCAAAGATGTTTGGACTTGAAAGAAGCTTGAAGACAAGCCAACTTGAGATGCTTGGCAGGTGGGGTTCCCTTACTCTCAGACAGGAGAGTCGGATACTTAGCCAGACATGCAATCTTGTTCCTAATGCGATACATGAATGACATAACACTTATAGCTATATATATATATATATGGTGATACAAGGGGTGTATTGTGCTTGGAAGTTTTGAGCTCCTCTCAGTGCTTGTTTTGCCGGTTTTATGTTGGTTCAAGTTGAGTTATAAGGTTGGCACTCTTTTTGCAGCTGCGCCTCGCACGGGCAACACTGGAATCTGTCACGAATGCTGCAGCTGTAGCCCCCACAGAGATCCTGGACTTTAAAGAAGTGGTTCCGCACTCAGATGGTGGGGACTTGACATCAAAGAATGAAACAGATCATTTTGGTCAGTTTGTTTCTTTGTCGTTTGCTGGACAATATTACTGTGTGGTTTGTGCCAAAGCACAGAATACAACAAGGACAATTTTTTATCTTTGCTTCTGGCACAGCACAGGAGGTGTCAGTATTTGGGATCTGAGGACGATTTGATTTCCGGGAGCTGGGTCCTACGGTGCTCTTTTGTAGAGGGTTTCACTGAAGACGAGCTCTTGGATTTGCCATCAGCGGCCACTGTGCTGCAACGACTCAGCGGCTCACTTGACTCATTGACAATATGTATATATGACTCATTGAAGCAAGACCGTGTAGTTCTGAGCACCCTCAGGTGACTGAATTTAAGGTAGACAAGAGTGAGGTGCTGGTCATAGGCCTTTCTTCAGTGTTTCTCCGTTTTGCCTTTGTGCCGATGTTTCAGAGACGCTTTCAGATCTTCCAGAGTACATTCATCGCAACGGGAAGGTCGCCAACATCAAGCAAAGGAGTTTGAACAGCTCTTGTCCAAGGCCCGTGCCTATTTCATCAGCCTGAGACTGCTAGATTGCTTTGTTTCTTCTCACAAGGCTTCTGCGTGCATGAGCTTCATCTCACGGGCACATGTGCAGCTGGAGGTGTGGTTCTCTCGGCACTTAAAGAGGGGTTCTATACACGGTCACTGTCACGAGTCATGAGCCTAAGAGGTATCAGACACTTCAGAGTTGTGTTGAAGTAAAAACATGTCCCTGCATCTTCCTTGGCAAAGGTGCAGAAGGATGCGCTGCTGGCCACCAACATAAGTAGCAACCCTGTCTATGTAGTCAGATCCTTATTTGATACAAGGACCTTACTGCAAGGTTAACTGCAACAGATCGAATTGGTGGGTCGCTCATGAGGATGGAAAGCCACTGTCTAAAGGCGAATCGAGAAGATTGCGCCCTAATCAGGCTTGAGACACTGTAAAAAGAGCGTAAAGTCATGTGACATGTGACAGCTTGCTGATGAACGTCATAGACTTTCTCATGCATGCTTTGCCAGGTAATTAGCTTTGCAAAACTGGACGGGAGCACGCATGTGCTCTTCATGTCATTTGAGGCTAGTTCTTTGCGTTCTTGCGGCAACTTAGTGATTGTTTGTTTGAGCTCCCTTTTGGTGCTGCAATGCCAACTTGACAGTGTCAAACATATGAAGAAAGCATCAATCAGCCATGTGTGCAGGCCTTCGTCGTTGATCGATCCGCAGCAAAGACCAAAGCGGTCAGATGAGAGATGTGAATGTCACAATATCACCTTGGTGTTGCGATGACCTCAACTCACTTGTTCACCATGATACAAGTGTTGCCAAGACTGTTGCTCACACACCTTTCTCCATTGTCTGAAAGTAATTCGTGCTAGACTCTGGCTAAAAAATGCCAGTTCTCCAATCTGCCGGGTTCTCCTGAGGTGCACTTGGCATAGGGAGAATAACTCGCTGCGCAAGATTGTAGCATCAATACAAACAGTGTGTTTATTTTTAAGGCATTGTCATTTCTGGCTGAGACGTCGCTGAAATCAATCTTCTTGCACATGATGGGGGTTACTGTAGCGTAAATCAACGGCTACGGCTTAGTGTAAGAGATTGAAGTTGGCTCGAAGCGCTCGAGAAGCTTCGGCCCGAAGCCTCGCCCAAGCCTTGTCACGTTTCTTGTTACCGAGCCAATTGCAATTCTTCCACAGCATTCCCAAGACGGAGGTGATGACGGAGGCTGATGCTTCCCAAGTTCTGGAGAACTGTGTCAACTTGGGTGAACTGAGGAGATTGATCGGTCAAACAGTGAAGCTACGTACTTGAAGCTCAACTCCATGAAGCATGGTATTATACTAAGTACCGTAGTGAGTTTGACCATTGTAGTGCATGTTGGGATAGTTTTGCTGTCCAACATGTCAACCTTTGGGACATCGCCCGGCCGGGGGACTTGAGGAGAAAACCTGGGATGCATCTGAGCGAGGTTGATGGCCTCCTGCAACAGATTGAGCGCGAGCACGGCGGCCTGGAACAGCGTGGAGTTCGCGAAACCGCGTGAACTGCGTGCTCAGGCGAAGAACTGCCAAAAGGGACCCACCAGCAACCTGTTTGAAACAATATGGGTCAACTGGAGAGATTCTGCCAGATTTTTTGATGAGTCTTTGGCTGCCAAGGAGGATGCCCGAAAGACATTAGAATATTGCAAAAAGTTCAAGCACTTGCAGTTGGTGACTGAGTGGAACAGAACATAACAGAACCAACTTGCAGATACTTACAGCCTTACTCTTAGCTTTCCCCACCTGACCGCGAAGCTGTCAGGAACACTGTTACTGCCAAATCAGCCAAGCAAGAGCTGATGAGATTGATACCGGTGCCCCGGGCTGGTTATGGTGTTGAATCGGTGTACAGAGGTGTTAAGTCCCAAATAGTCCCAACCGATTCCACCGCAGTGTCAGGTGGACGGCCGCTATGTGAAGCTTTGGCCTGAGTGCTTCCCAACTTCGAAATGCATTCAGTCAGACTGGTGTGGATCTAAACTTCAAAGGATCATTTTATTAGGAACCAGAAGCTACTAGGGGCTCCTGGCCTTACTACTAGGAGTGATCGGACGCTAAGAACGGGGCTCCTGGCATCGCTACGAACGGAGCAATGTTCGCTACGAACGTAACAAAAAGCTACTATCAATTGATAGAGTTGTCCCACACTGGTCATTCGTGGAACGTCCTGAGGCGTTGCAGAGATTTTGAGGCCACCCAGCTTTTAAACCTGATGCCCGGAACAGCGGATGAAGCCAGGACACAAATTGAGCTGAAAGATCAGACTCCCTCACAGCACTTGGTAGTCCCGGTTTTTGTCAGGAAGTTGATCCCGACCTTGGATGGAAATAGATATCTTGACGACTTAGTGAAAGAGCCAATGCCTTAGAACGGTGTTGGAACACCTCTGATAAACTTGCCTTGAAAAGAAGCATCCAGAATACACATCAACATATTCTTCATGCTTCAGGCTGGGACAATTGAAAGAGTACGACCCATTCATTGAGTAGTGCAGTTCAAAAATACGTGTGATGCTCTCTTGTTTGTCTGTGGAATTCTCAGGGTCCATTCAGGTTGAGTGACCAGCGACTTGCGACTTGACCAGTGAGCGCTTTGCAGCTTTTTGGGGGGAATGATGCTCAAACAGATATTGTCTCCTAAGAAGGAAGCAACCTCTGAGACAGATTCCCGTGATTCCGAGCTATAGCAAGATCACAGGCTTTTGTATCATATTATCTGATATTATGTAAACCAATGCCAATGCTTTGTGTGCTTCCTGAGACAAAGGAGGCGGAGCATGTGCCAACAACCATTCACAATTGAATTCATAACATTTGTCAGCTGAGAGCCCTGCAAAACATCACATCATCGGCTTGCTCAACATTTGGTGAGTCTATGAAGCAGAGTGGGTCAATGCCAATCATCTCATTTGCCAATTCGCATCATACGTGTGGGATTCCGCCATGGATTGCACGGCGGCACCACAGGTCATTGAGCCGCTCAGCAGATATTTTCTGGAGAAAACAGCATCAGACCGCCGTCACGGTGTCTTTCGGTGTCAGGGCGGTTTTTTGGCACCGGACACCGGGAAGTCCTGGGAAATGAACTGCCCCACTAGCCGTTACTGGCCTCTATAGATCTTAGTAGCTCTGAGAAGCTCGAGGCAAACTGTAGAGCCACCAGAGCAAAAATGAAGCAAAGTTGCCCTCAATGTAGCATGATGGCCCTTTACAGCTGTGGCTTTGGGATACTGCAGATATCAATTATGATGTTTTTTGCATGGCCTTGGCATGACATATAGGCATGTTGGCATGGGTGGCATGGGTGGACGACGTCCACCTTTCCCTTTTCAGGCACCTCAAGGAACCGCTGAACTTCACACCCTTCGACACCAGATGGGTGCCACAAAGTGCGACTCGGAGCACTGAGAACGCTCATCGCTGCGCTTGTCCTTTGTGCTCGGCCATGGTGCTGGTCTAAACCGAACAACTGCTTGCTTCCTGCTGGATTTCGCTTGATGACTTATGACTTGATGACTTTGCTGCGTTTTTATTTGGGCTTTAATACACAAGCACTCTCCGAACGCAGTTTCATCCGAGGCTCGCTTTGTGGTTTTGGGACAGTATCCAAGGGCTACTGGATGCATTTGGGTTTGCCAGCTGTGGGAACTGCATGTATTTGGATTTGAGAGTGTGCTCCGAGCTGTTCTGTATGTGTCCGCATCTCCGCATCTCCGTGCTACTTCAGTCTGAAAAGCATTGGCTGCTTGGAACTTGCACACACACATGTTCTGGACGATTTCCAGAGTTTCCTGAAGCTTTGCCAGGAACAAAGGAAAATGTGAAAAGTTGGTGCTGCGCTCAGGGCGGGCGAGCGCAGTTCTTCCTAGAAACAAGGTCTCGTAGGTCTGGGACGTCGCTACGCAGCAGAGCGAAAACAGAGCATGAAGAAGCGACGTTTGCAAAGCAACAGCTCACAACATCAGCTCCAGCTCCAGCTCCGGGTCCAGGCAGAGACCGAACAGCCCAAAGGCTTCAAGTGCGGCACTTTTGGAGCTTCGTCCATCGAGGCGTGCGAAGGTGAATAAGACGACGGTTCGGATGCATCGAGTTCGAGCCTGACGCCTGACTCTGAACACACGGTGTTTCACTGCAGGACCGGCATCTTGCCACGGGCGACTATGTTGGCGGTTTAGCCATCTGGGACTTAGAAAACATGAAGAAGCCCATATGGAGTGGTGGCCCTAATCGTGACATTGGCGGTAAACTTACATAAATGAAGTTACACGATCCTTCACTTCACTTGGGTGAGCTCAGGCGCAAAAGGTCATGATCTCATCGTCAATGCCATAGATGGCTGTGGAGGCTCACTTAGACTCGAGTTTCGGAGTGAAGACCAAAGTAAAGATTTGCCTGTTGGTTTTCCATTTGCCGTTCAGGCCTTGGTGTTGGCAGCGGTGCTCCAGAGTTTGAGACTCAGAGAGTGAGAGGACAGACAGAGCCCATGTCATTCCTTACTGAACAGAATTGAGTTTAGAGATGCGTGCATGTTGCTTTTTTGGTGCATTTGGCAAATTTTGCATGCATGTATGTAATCAACAGCTTGTTATGATGGTTTGACGCAGCAAGCATCCTGCAGAGGGGGCATAGCCGGGCATAGCGCAAAGACATCCCCCGGCCCAAAAAGCGAACAGCAGGCTCGTGACTGGCAGCAGGGATGGGACGGTCAGAGTGGGGCACTCAGCAAGCAATCATGTGCCTACGGCGTACGGCCTTTGAGAGTGCGAAAAGACAACAAGTTGACTCAATTGACTTGTGATTCCTTGTCGATCTTGGCCTAGTAGAAGACAGATGAATGGTTTGTTGTTTTGAAACCATGGTGTAGTACAGCAGACAGACAGAGTTGCTGAATGGATGTGAAATGCGGCGCCCGTTTCGTACGTATACTTGCTTTCATGAATGGTCAAGTTTTTCCCTCTTCCGCGCAGGTGTGGGACCCGCGGACGGAGGATCCAGTGCTGTCCTTGGAGCCGGTCGAGGGCGAGACGCCGGCGGATTGTTGGACCGTGGCCTTTGGCAACTCCTACAACGATGCAGAGCGGTGCATCGCTGCAGGACCGTTTGTTGTGCATTTGAGTGTAGCCAACAGCCTTTGCTTCAAAAACGACCTAGGCTACGAAGCAACTGTTTTCTCTTATTTGTCAAGTTGGGTTTGAGATTGTTTCAGTGTTCCCAATTAGTGAGCCATAGCCAGATGAGTCTTGTCCTCAGGATACGACAATGGGGATGTGAAGATTTTTGATTTGTTCGGGCCTTGCGTGCGGATGCTTCATTCAATTGTACACTTGATGCTCTTGCTCAGGCGAACCAATACCCTGAGATGGGACACAAACGTTCGCAACGGTGTATGCCATCTGCAGTTTGTCGCGGACTCAGCTGCAAAGTTCCCCCCCTAAAAATCTAGGAACCAAAAGAATAGTGCCGCCTTTGGGACGGCGGGGGGGAGCTTTCTTGAAGAAGCGTGAGCTATCCTGTGTCCTGGGTAGTAGCTACTTAAGCTACTAGCTACCCAGCTACAGTTACTAGCTACCTACCTAGCTAACCTACCTCACCTCTACACGGCCTACCCCCCTTTAAAAGGTTCATTGTGAATCAAGGATCGCAAAGACATTCGGATGAACAAGCTAGGTGTCAAGACCTTGGCGTCTTTCAAGCAAGCATCGCTAGAAGGACAAGATCTTTTATCAAGTTGCTGTTTTAGGCAATCAACCAGTGAGGTGTCCACGCTGGAGTCGACTCTGGTGGTCTACGACTTGCGCACGTTCCAGCCTTCATTTGCTGTGCAAGCTTCCAGAGTCTTTGTGAATTGCAGATCTCCACGAACCAATGGCCCCCCAATGTGACGAGGTTTTATTGTATGACCAAAAACATCCAAAAACACTCTTGAGGTATCATCCCACGGAAGGCTATGCTGGAAGAAAAGAGAAGGCAAGTTAAGCTGGTCTTGATCCAAACATTTTCGAAACGAGTTGGGTTCGTTGGGTGAGTTGCAGGTCACCAAAAGTACCCTGTGGGGTGCGCACTTCTTGCCTCAAAACCGGGAAGTGTTTGCTTCGTGCGGCGGCAATGGAACGATCACCCTTTTCAAGCAAGGACCTAAGGAGCCCAATCTTTTCAGAATTTGGTGTTAATCTTCAAATTAAAAATCGATAGCAGCTGTAGATTCTGACCGTTCCGAGGTATTCCTATCCAGAGGAGAGATCCATCAAGGACAAGGAGGGCATTGAGCCAAAGACTGAGCAAAGAGGAGAATATGAGATGGGGTGATACCGCATTGGGCATCTCCAAAGACTGAGACCATTGACATCAAGCGATTTTGTGTTCACAACAGCAACATCAAACAATGGCGCTTTTTCCACCCTACAATTTACAACGTAAGGCGTGGAGTTGCTGGGACCGTGGAGATGCTGAATCAGAAGGCTGCGTGTTTTGACTGGGACCCCCCTTCAATGAGAACCAGTGTCCTGTGCGGTGTTCGGTCTAATTCAGGAGCTTTCTACGCAGCCCGTCATCTCTTTTGCTTGGCACTGAGTGCTCAGATTCAAAAGACAATTAGCCACAGATTTTGCGTTCTTTACTAACGTAGTCTACGGACATGCATCAGTTATTTGTCCAGCATCATATTCGATTGCAAATGAGGTAGGGCCGGGCCTGCCCCAAAAGAGTTATATCATTATATCTTGCATTTCTTGCTACTGCTAGCGTGAATGAGATCATGTAGGCAACGTTTGCTACTGCAGCAGTCCAAACGCCCAAGCTAGATGGTGCATGTGAGTTTAGCCCCAAATCAATTCCACTCAGATGTTCCACCGGGTGAGAGCTGAGGATTGGCACATGAACAAGACTGGCCTATGTGTTTTTGCCTGCCTGGATCAGTCTTGGCCTTACTTCCTGTTTTAGCTTTGAGCTAGTGAAGTACAACCTTGAACACGAATCGTTCTTGGTAGGACTTGCCGTGTTGCAATTTGTACCAAGCCAAGATCTCAGTGGTGCCAGCCCGTGGTTTAGGGTCAGATGGCATGTAGACACCGTATTGAAATCATATTACATTGCTCCGGAGGCTGCATCTTTACTGAGATGACCGGCCTGCGTTGCCGAATCCCAGCAGTTCAAGAGAGATGGCAAACTGCACAGGTCACAATGTGTCAAGAGTGAAGTCAGTGTTTTCAAACCTATTCATGATACATGCTAGGTTAGCTTACATGGATTCCTGGTCAGCAAGTGCATGCCCTGCATGAACGAGCAGCTACATGCTGCCAAATGTGAAAAACCATGTGGCGACAAGCTAAGAAGGCAGTGTCGAAAAAACAAGCTTCGGTGGGTGCCAAACTTCTTCCGAAACGGATGTCCAGCCGGAACAGTCTTCAGTGGATGCTTTGCACTGGACGCCGCAGGCGTAAACAGCCTCCGGTAGGCTTCAACGCTATGTCGCATGTCGAAGCTGAAAACAGCAAGTGACTCACTGGAGGATACGAGACTGAGAGCAAGTTCTCAATATGGGACATGATGCGGGATGTGCGTTTGCCCGATTTGAAGCACACCCGGTTTTCGTTTAATCCTGTCTCATTGTTCAAAAACACTACAGACTACAGAGCTGTTGAAGATATTGAAGAGCACTGACATATCACAGCACAACGCTTGTACAGTAACTGCAAAAATCCACAACAGAAAGCTTGTCCTTTTCCATGGATTCGTTGCGATGGGCCGCTCGCCGAAGTCTTCCCCAAAAGCTTCGCCGAAGACATCACCCAAGAAGGTGAAGAAAAGCGAGGTTGAAGAAGAAAAGCGAGATGTGAACAGCCTGAAAAGCCCGAAAAGTCCCAAAAGCCCGAAAAGCGCGAAGAAGGTGCCGACTCGGGAGACGACGACACAAGCCCAAGGCGGACTTCAGGGGACCTAATAGCGTTGGCCTCCAAGCTGCTAACGATGGCCTCCAAGCTACTAGCGATGGCCTCCAAGCTGATAGCGATGGCCTCCAACCTCCAAGCTGATAGCGATGGCCTCCAAGCGCCTCCAAGCTACTAGCGATGGCCTCCAAGCTACTAGCGATGGCCTCCAAGCTACTAGCGATGGCCTCCAAGCTGATAGCGATGGCCTCCAGGCTGATAGCGACGGCCTCCAAGCGCCTCCAAGCTACTAGCGATGGCCTCCAAGCTGATAGCGATGACCTCCAGGTTGATAGCGATGGCCTCCTAGCTACTAGCGATGGCCTCCAAGCTGATAACGATGGCCTCCAAGCGCCTCCAAGCTGATAGCGATGGCCTCCAAGCGCCTCCAAGCTACTAGCGATGGCCTCCAAGCTGATAGCGATGGCCTCATACCCACTAGCGATGGCCTCCAAGCTGATAGCGATGGCCTCCAACCTACTAGCGATGGCCTCCAAGCTGGCCTCCAACCTATTAGCGATGGCCTCCAAGCTGATAGCGCTGGCCTCCAACTTACTAGCGATGGCCTCCAAGCTGATAGCGCAGGCCTCTAAGCTGATAGCGATGGCCTCCAACCTACTAGCGATGTCCTCCAAGCTGATAGCGATGGCCTCCAACCTACTAGCGATGGCCTCCAACATACTAGCGGTGGCCTCCAAACTGATAGCGATGGCCTGCTGATAGCGCTGGCCTCCAAGCTGATAGCGATGGCCTCCAAGCCGATAGCGATGGCCTCCAAGCTGATAGCGATGGCCTCATACCTAATAGCGATGGCCTCCACCGAAAAGGGATTCTGAGCACAAACTGACTGAACGACTGAACGAGGATACAAAGGAAAGTGCCGCCTACAAGAGCATTGCCGTTTGCCTGAGCTCTGGGCACATCACTAAGAGGACGTGCGTGTATTAGATATGCTAGCACCATCATCATGTTTGCTCTATGTCGTGCTCGACATTAACTCTTTCAGGCACAAACTCCATCCTACACTTGTCGCTGGAGTTTTCTCGAAGAGTGCTTCACCTATTTCTGCCCGGGGCTTATCATTCCCGGTGCATTACCATCAAGTACTTGTGTTTTGACTGCAAAGTCAAGAGTTCCAGGCCGGTTCGAAGCTCTACGCACCCTGTGGCCCTTTCGTCCAGGTGTATAGTGTTTTTGCCTTAGTCCAAACTGAATGGACAGGATGATGGGTAAAAAGATGCCAAACCAAAACACGCTTGGCATGTGGGTCTCTTCAAAACGTCCAACAAGACTTTCACCACGAGGTGAAGAGCCATCGCGTCTTAGCCACGCTTGGGCCACATGAAGGGCAAGTGACTGCTTTGTCTGCAGGCGCTCATTGTTTGCTTTCTAGGACCTGGAACACTGGAGCATCTTCCACTGTAATGCGAAGACCGAATAGCTAGTAGCAGTAGCAGTAGCAGCAGCAGCAGCAGCAGTAGTAGTAGTAGTAGTAGTAGTCATTGTTGTTGTTGTAGTTGTTGTAGTTGTAGTAGTAGTAATAATACGAAAAATTGACCTGGTTGTGGGCTCGGATTAACTGGGGGGGGGTTCTGGTGCCGAACTAGACCATTGGGGGGAAATCAACCACCAATACTACTTTTAATTTGGGCAATTTTCGGAGACTCTGTGGGCTCGGATTAACTAGGGGAGGTTTATTAATCCTATGTTTGCATTAGACGAGCTGCTTCGAACTTGAGAAACTCACAGGTTCAAAGCAACCTGATGGTCCATACCCCATTGCAACAGGATCTTCGCCTGGAACCTGGATGAACCTGGCAATTTGATGCAATTTACAATTTTTGGTGCAGGACGTTGTTGAATCCGCGTGCCTTTTTCCGTGTGTTGATTGCATTTGCCTACTCAGGTCTGGAGAGCTTTGCATATGGGACGGGAAAGGTGGAAACTGACGCATTCTCAGACACTGCGCCAGAGCAATACGAGAGCATTCAATGATGGGGTGGCTGCGAAATGCTGCGCAGTCTGAGTTTCTAAGTGCCGCGTGGCCACGAATTCACCAACAAAGGTTCGCAGCCGTCCACCCGGATGAACCTGGGCAATGAGGTGCCACAGAAAGGGTTGGGTCCGGCCGGGTCGTTTGAGACTGACGATTTTCCGACTGGGTCCGAACGACAGGTGCTTTCTTTACACTGGCCAAGAGCAAACCAGATCATCGTGATGCTAGGCCGCGAGTGAAAACAGAGCCGAACTGCAGAAGTACGACGCACTGCAGCTTTGACCTTGCTGCAAAACATCCGACAACAGGAGGTTACTTTCGAGTTTGTTTGAGATAATATACACTAAGATACACCCAGTAAGAATCGTTGGACATGCAAAGAAAGAACCAGTCCACTCTCGCCAGGTGAAAAGGGTGGCGAAGCTTGGCTGGAGCAGATCACTGTGTCATCTCTTGAATCAATTTCGTGGGTGCCTCAGACGGCAGAACGCCCCAGAATTTCCGGAGTCAGAAGCACTTTGAGCTTCTCAGCTTCTCAGGAGGGGCAGTACCTTGCCCCTTCGTGCAAATCTCAGATGTCGGCAAAATAAGCCATACAGATTATACAGTATTGTCTTGTTGAATTTGTTTACGTCTTTTGACTGAAAGGTGCCGAAAAAGCCGGTCGTTGTGATGTTGATGACGACATAGTGGCTCTCATCGACGGCAAGGATGGTATGAGGGAGGGGAGCAAACGACCAAGCAAGGGGTTGATATGTCGTAAAGGAGAGCGAGCGAGAGTGAGTGAAATAGAAACAGCAGCGCTATTTAATGCTATTTATGAGAGCTGGCCGCTGCCCTGCTCTCATGGATGTTCAGAAAACGGATGCCAAGCCCACGCACCATGACCCGAATCGTCAGCCATTTGTCCAACTGCTCTGACTAGCAACTTTCACAGTTGGCCGATCGGTGTTTGATGGTGTTTGAACATCTTATGATGGCTTCCAAGTGGTGCTCGAAACATCTTATGGTGCTCGAAACTGTTTTTGTTTGAGTTATTGCAATTGAGAGAGTCGAGACTGTGTCGAGACTGTGTTTCTCGACAACTTCCCTTCGATTTGGCAATCAAGGTCTTAATATGTCTTATATAATGGTTCTTGAAAGGGAAAGGAAAGGCCCTTCGATTTGGCTTTTGTTTCAATGTTATCATGAAGAACTCTCCTGAGCAATCCCCTCCTCCAATATCAACGATATTAAACGAACTAATGAAAGGCGCATTTCAGCTGTATATTTTGTATTAGGGTTCGGGTGGCCATCTACTGTATTACCAGGGGGGAGGTGATTAGGACAAATGTATAGACATGCTCGGTACTTTTGCTTTCCACACAGGGCATTCACAGTATAGACACATGGAAACACGGCGAAAGCTGGGAACTAATGCTCCAAATGCCAGGAGCTTTGTGTTTGGAAAGAGGGCTGGAGCGCACCGCGCAGGCTGAACATCTTCAGTGCTGTTGAGGTACTCCCATCCCCGGTTGACCATCCCAGGTACTCCCATGCAAGCAAAGCCTTTTCGGTTGCCATCGATCCTTACAGGAGACCATTTCACTTTGCTGCTTCTTGTTACTACTAGTAAGGCACTTGTTACTAGAAGCGATGCACTTGTTCCTAGTAGCGTGGCACTTGTTTCAAATGGCTTGTGGCTTGCTCAAAGTGCAGAGATTGATGGATACCGCTGTGCGCTACTGCAGGAGATATGTAGCAGTTGGCGATCAGTTGGGGGTGGTGTGGTTTTGGCACCGGCCTGAATTGATACAGTATCTTGTCATGTTTGTCATCTATGCTAAAGTATGATGAGGTGGGGTGCTTTGGATGACGTACAAGACACCCTCGTATGGGCCCTAGACACGAGGACACCAGTGTAGTGTAGAGTCTGGCAAAAAGGGTGAGTCTCATTCCTTGACTTGTCTCTCCAAGGTTCCTGCCCGCTGGCACTGGCATGTCAAGCTGGCATTGATTAGCAAAGCAATGCAACACCTGCTTGTGAGTGGGTAGTGTAAGAACGTACACGAAATGCTTCAGGCCGGTCCAGTACGCGCTCTAACACACTCTGGTCCTCTTCTCCTCAGCGCGGGAGACGAAGGTGTTCTTTGTGTTCGAAATGCTGAGGACGCTCGGCTGGGACAAGTCCCACAAGTCCCATGCTGTTGCTGAGCAGCTGAATTGGAGAAAATCCTTTTGTTCGTGCCGAGGATGAAACGACCAAGTACATCCCTCGCTTTCGGACGTCATTTCGACATCTCACTGTACGGCTCTCATTCAGCGAGCACTGGCCAAAATTATATATGCGCA